TTCAGGATGGGTTAGCTTTGAAAGACACGGTTTCTCTTCCAAATAACTATCTTGACTTTCAGGATGTGAATTAGGTGGAGTGAAGGATTCCAGACACAGTGCAAGTGTCTCTGTTTGGATTCCTTTTGTATAAGAGCTGTTCACATGTCCTCCTTGATTCAGAGGGCACGGGGGAAGGGTCAGCAGTCCCCACATTCTGGATGCAAGTCTGCAGGAGGGGCAGGTTCTGAAGGAGCTCCACCCTTGCTGTTCAGAAGATATCATTTCCCCTTCTTTCCTTTCCTTTTTTTTAAATTTCTTTTCTTTTTTCCTTTTTTATTTTCCTATGCCTCCACGCAGTACCATCTTATTCCATGGAACAGAAAATACAGCACGTGAACATATTTCCAGGCATACTAACTCTTCCCCCTTCCAAAAAAGAAAAAACTAGGATGACATTCCTCTCTCTCCTAAAAAGTCCACGCTGACTCTGTTTGTTCATTCCTCTCTTTTATTAGTATCGAATGGGGATTAGATAAAAGAGAAAAAAGGCAGGAACAAAGCTGAGGGTGGGCAGGATGGGGGATAAGACAAGGAATTGAAACAGTGGGGTCTGTGCTTTATGTGGATGTGGGCAGTAGGCAGGGCTCCCTGGCTGGTTGGTGGAGTTCCTAGGTGAAACTCAGGTCTTGGGATAATTTGGGGGTCTGCAGGACCCATGGTGATACTCAAGGTTTGGGGGTGGGGTAGGATTCTGGTCAGGGTGAGGCAGACCTGGGAAGCACTCACGATGACTGGATTCTACTTTGGGTCTGGACTGTTCCCAAGCCAAAGATCTTTCCCCTCACATCCTCCTTGGAAGGCAGTTGTTTTTGGCTTTCTCTTGGGAAGACTAAAGTAAAGCACTGGTAACTGCTGAAAGGGGGTTTGAGACAAGAGCGACAGTCTGAGAGAATCTTGGAGTGGCTCGATTTCCAGAACCTTCCAGGCTTATATGGAGAGGCTGTTTCCCAACTTCCAAGCAAAACCAGTTTTGATTGCCAAAACACAGCTGCTGTTGCTTTCCACTGACCTGTGGTTCAGTAACAAGTGGCGAGGGACATGTGACAATCAATGCCTCAGCTCCCACGGAGGTGCTGGGTGACCCCTGGAAAGAAGTAACGGCAACTCCAGGATCCAGAAATGAGTCTTGTGGGAGGATTTCTCGTATCCCTGAGTCTCTTCGAGCTTGCACCAGCTCTGGGTACAAGCCAGCATCATCTTCAGAATAGGCGTTGCTGCACATCTAGAGGCGGCCTGGGGCAGATGGAAAGAGCCAGAATTCAGCATCCAACTCCACCTCCTACCAGATGTGTGCCTTTAGGCGAGTTTTCCCATCCCTCTGAGGTGCAGTTTCCTCGGCTGTACAATGGGAATAATGATATGCTTTGACTTGGGGAGATGTTGCCAGAGTTGGAAGATGGTATTGAGCACTTGGCTTGGGCTGGTACTTAGTAATTAGTAACTGGTTCCTCTTTCCCCTGACTTGTGCAAGTAGAATTTGCTTCATTGTCTAGTGAAACTAGACAATTACCTAGTTTCTAAGGGAAAGGGAGGCAGACGGGAGAGCTTTACACCAGCATTCTCTACAGGAGCCATATTGGTCACTGGATCCATCCTGAAATACCAGCTGGCTTTGTAGGGTGATGGGAACAGGAGGGATTGTGTGAGGCTTCCAAAATGATGCCCAGGGCATTTGTGAGCTATAGAGAAGTAAATTGACACATTTCGTGCTCCCTGTATCATGGCAAATATGGATACAAATTAGCAACTGGCTTAGCCATAGAATTTCAGCAAACTTGGGGCACCTGGCCACTTTGGGGCCTGACACAGAGGTCAGGATAATTCAGAGACTTAAGGCTTTTTACAGACATGAAAAGAGCCTGGTTCTGCGAGGGCTTCCCACCACCTCCCCTTGCTGCGTAGATTCTGAAATGTACCACAGCCTGTTTGGAGCCACTTTTGTTGATCCATTTTCCAGGCAGGCAGAACAGCAGTTTTACTGTTGCAGCTGCTACTGTTTGGGGTGGAAAAGTGAATTGTAGGGGCAGTGGCATCGCTGACAAACCAAAGGGAGCATTGTTGCCTTTTTAAATTCACATCCTCTTCAGAATTCCAGGCAGTGGAATTATTGGTCTCATCTTCTGAGCCCACAGATTTGTAAACTTCTCCTTCTGCAGAGAGGCTGGCATGTTTCTTACTAAACAATGTATTTATAGGTTTTTCCTCCTGACTGGCCCCTTGTTGTGTGGGGATGAATAACAAGTCTCTGGGATTTACAGAGTGGCATTTCATCCTATATGCACTTTCCCCTCAAAAACTAAAGCCCCGGTCCTCCCTCCCACAGCAGTCCTGAGGTTCTTCAGCCCCCCACACCTGGAGTTCACCTGGGTTCCTTCTCCCCCTTGATGATCCCCTGTTCACTCAGCAGCCATTTTCTCCAAATTTTGTCTTCTCAGCTTTTAGGCCATCCACCTCTTCTTTTCCATTTCAGCTGCCACCATCCAGTTGTCCTCTCTGGTTACCTCTCACCTCCTGCCTTTCAGTGCTTTCCTACCTGAGTTTTCTCTCTCTGGTTACCCTGCTATTCCTCTGGTCCGAAACATCTGCGAGGTTAGGTTGGGACACAGATGGCAGGTTGGTGGCCCCAGTCAAAGAGGGTCCGCAGGCGTGTTTGACTTGACCATCATGCTGCACACCCACACGGTAGTTTAGAAAAATTTAGTTAGAAACATTTATAAATCAAGACGTTCATGTAGAAATCCGGATTACCAGCATCACTTTAAAACTGGATGACCCGTCAACACTGGGTGGGCATTCCTGCATGCAACCCACGGCTGGAGCCGAGTGGCCACTGCCCCTTAGACGGGCAAACACTGCCCAGGCTGCCTGCCCCCTGTGCAGCCCGCTTTCCTTGTGTGGGGTCCCTTCCTGAACCGTGGAGGCATTTTGGTTGTGATTCCCTCCCCTTTCAGACATACACCTTCCACGGTACCTCGCTGCCGCCTGAGTTAAGTGTGAGTTCCTCACCTCGTACTCCACAGTGTCCAGCAATAATTCCCAAACTGATCACCTGTTAGCAACACCTGGGAGATTAACAAATTAACACCTGTCATTCCTGCCACCTCCGCAATCAATTGTGATTCAGTAGCTCAGGGATGAGACTCGGGAATCTGTATTTTTAAAAAGAAAGATCCCGGGTAATTCTAGTGCGGACAGTCTAGAGCGCATACTTTTATAAACACAGTTACGGTGTGTTTCAGTGTCCCTTGATAGCCTTTCTGTAGTTTCAGTTCCAGAATTCCTAGAGAAGGAGGTCGATTGGCCTCTGGATTGGGTCAGAGACCTTCCTTCTCTGCCACTGAATGGCAGCTCCTGCAAGAACTGTGTGGGACCAGGGCAAAGAAGCAGTTCCCAGCACCGAGGGCAGCTGGGCAGGCAACCTCACCCTCCTCTGCATTCTCTTGTGCTGTTACAGGTGTCTGGCCTGTCCTGCCGCCTGCCACATGGATCACTCCAAGAAGGCAGGGGCTGCTTCTCAGTCACCTGCCTCTCCCCAGAACCACCTACCACTGCTCCCTAGAGTAGATGTACAAACATCTATTTCTTTTAAACTTTTAACTAGTTTCCAAAAAATTGTATATGTACATAGTTAAAAATGCATAGTTAAGGGGCTGGCCCAGTGGCACAAGCAGTTAAGTGTGCGCACTCTGCTGCGGCGGCCCAGGGTTCACCGGTTCAGATGCCAGGCGCACACCGACGCACCGCTTGTCAAGCCATGCCGTGGCGGCATCCCATATAAAGTGGAGGAAGATGGGCACAGATGTTAGCCCAGGGCCAGTCTTCTTCAGCAAAAAAGAGGAAGATCGGCATCGGATGTTAGCTCAGGGCTGGTCTTCCTCACAAAAAAAAAAAAAGTATAGTTAGACAACAAAAACTAAGTTTTCCTCCCAGTCCTGACTTCAGGTCCCCTGTCCGTCCCTCTTAAAGGAACCAGTCCCTTCTGTGTATTGATGAAGATACGGGCCTGTCTATAGAGACAAGGCCCACTTTTAACTTTTTATCCCCACAAACCCCCAAAATATGTTAAATATTTACTCATAAAAGCCCTGGATTAAGTAGGGAAATGTTACTATTCTTACCTTAAAGTTAAGACTTTTGGGGAAGGATTGATTAACGGATTTTTGCCTCAGGGGCCGGACTAGAGAACAGGTCCTCTGACCCCACCGCATTGTGTTTTTCTCTCAGTTGTGTAGTGAAGTTGTTTGAAATCGCTGATTGTCTGTGTGGTATGGGCGAGGACAGTGTCCTCCCTGTTCACTGCTTATAATTTATGAAAAGATACACGAGAAGTCCTGCCCGGAGCTGGGGGAGAGGGTCCCCTCCAGACTTATCTGGGGAGTTGGGGCCCTTATACCACCACAGGGTAGCTTAAAGATGTGAAAACACTGTTGCTACCACATGCACAAGTGAATCAGGAAGACTTCTCACTCACATGTTTATTTAAAATGATGTGGAGACTGTTACAACAGAAAATAGCTGCTTTCAAGTCCCCCTTCCAAAGTTCACGTTTTATACAATTGCGTGATGTCGCCTGCTATGGACCTCTTACCTCCTGTCAGCCTCAGAGGTCTGTTCATATATTCAAGATTTACCATGAGACACATCCTTCACTTCCCTTTTTCCTGTATCTCATCAGTGGAAGAATGTTGGAAAGTTATAGAAATAAGACAAGAGAAGTTTCGGGTTTTATGCTGTCTAAAGAGGTAAATGCTCACTGTCACAGTGGCTTCACAGAAGCCCATTTTATTTGCTAATATCATTCTTGTATTCATTTTTGTCCCACTTTCCCCCTACTTTGAAAAGATAAGAGATTTCTTGAAGTGAATGTGTGCCATAATTGTTAAAAACGGCAAACACGTATCAGAGTAAATGAGGTCCAGGTTTGAGAGTAGAAATTAAATGTTCTTTTTCCTTTTCAGGGACACGAGGCCATCAGGAATCATGAGCAACCCATTTGCACACCTTGCTGAGCCTTTGGATCCTGCACAACCAGGAAAAAAATTCTTCAATTTGAATAAATTGAAGGATTCAAGATATGGTAGGTACATGGCTCTGTGATGTAATTGCTCTGACAGCACTTGGCATCTCACTTGTGTAATAATTAAGCTATGTAATTAGTTAGCCTTTAGGAGAGTTGGAAGAAGAAGTAGTGGACAAGGGCTGAGGGGTCTTGGATTAAGCACACAAACACACAAACTCACACACATACACACACCCTTCTTATGTTGCTCATTTTTAAGTAGGTAATAATGATTATATACATGTAACATTCATATAACACTTTATAGTATAGAGAGTGTTTGTACATATATATTATATCATTTAATCTAAATAACAACCCTATGAGGTCGTGTTTATAAAATGTAAGAAGTCCTGAGGAAGCTAAGGCCCAGAGAGGGTCAATGACATGAGGAAACAGCAACTATGTGGGCAGCAGAAGAGGATGAAAACACAAGTCTTTTTTATTCCAAATCCTGTGCTTTTCTACCTTTGCACTGTTATCTTTTCCGGATAATATTGGTGAATAATTTTCATATATCAGGATGGAACATTTCTTTTATAAATAAACAGAATACTTTTTCTTATGAATTACCATTATTTTATCCTAGAAACCCCAGTTACCAGTGGCCATGCTACATGGTATTTAGGGGTTTATTTCCTTTGAAAGATGTACGTGACTATACTTTGATCTTCATTACAATAATTCTAAAGGGGTTATTTTCTCATTTCTTAAACTCTAGTTTTCAGGTGAAATATTATTCTGTGTGTGTTACTTCCTAACACATAATACAATAAATATCTGAACTGATTTCTTTCATCATGACTTAAGGGAAACTCTGTACTTGGAATCTAGGCAAGGCACCCATTCATTATGAAAGCATTAACTGTAGTGTTTTATTTTTGCCCTATCTGTGGGGACTTTCTAGAACTGAATGTCTCTTATACCTGTTCAATATCCTTATATTTTAAACTGATGAGACCCTCTTTCTCTGTTGGAAGAATAGTCTGATGCCTTGTATCAAGTTTATATAGAGACTGGCTTTAAAGAGCTCTTATAATAAGGTGTCTCATGGTTTTTGTTTGTTTTGTTACGCTTTCTCCTTTACTCCCAGGACGCTTACCGTTTTCTATCAGAGTTCTCCTGGAGGCAGCCGTTCGGAACTGTGATCAATTTTTGGTGAAGAAAAATGACATTGAAAATATCCTAAATTGGAATGTCACACAGCATAAGAACATAGAAGTACCATTTAAGCCTGCCCGTGTCATCCTGCAGGACTTTACGTGAGCCTAATGTCACTTCACTCTCCTCTTCACTGCCTCCCTTTAAAGAAAGCCTTTAAAGAAAGATTTAAAAACACACACACACAATGACTGTATGATTTATTACCCAATATCCAGATACTTTTGAAAATGAAAGGGGGCTGTTATCCTTGACAGCAAGAGATTGTCTCAGGCAAATCAGGTCACTCCGCGTTTTCCAACGGCAAAGGCTACTGTCTTTGGTCTTGAAGGCCCTAGTTCTGAGTACACTGGCTAAAGGGGAAAGAAGGAGCACAGAGTGGAGCGATCTAGGAGTCTTTTCTCCCCTACGTCCTGTCACCCAGGGGGCCAGATTTCAAACAGCTGTCCTTAGAACGTAGATGTGCTGTCCCCTGAGGGGAGAAGATACGTGGTTCACAAGGCCTGACCTGTTGCTCTTAAGCCTCAGCTCACATGCTGCTGTTCTCAGAAATCTTTGCTCCATCATGGCCTCTATTTTGAGGCACTACCTTTCCATTTTTAAATGTTATTTTATTCCTGCTAGAGTCCAAATTTTATTTTTCTAGAGGAAGTTCACCCAAATTTTATACTCTAATATAATAAGAAGGAAGGGTTCACTTAAGATAAATTTGATTCACAGCCTACTTTTCTGAATTATATCAGAAAAGACCAAATTAAATTTCATCTGAAGTTGAAGGTGTGATCCACATGTCTTCTCCAGGTCTTTGTTACCCCACTCTGTGATGGGAAATAGTCATGGAAGTAAAAGGTTCCAGAGTTTTGAAGTGCCAGCTTTCCCATAGTCTCTCTATTGAGACCTGTTTGTTGTTAACTTGAATACAGTGATAAAGATGTGTATAGAAGTACCACTCAGGGGCCGGCCCCGTGGCTTAGCGGTTAAGTGCGCACGCTTCGCTACTGGTGGCCCGGGTTCGGATCCCAGGCGCGCACCGACACACTGCTTGTCCGGCCATGATGAGGCCGGGTCCCAGATACAGCAACTAGAAGGATGTGCAACTATGACATACAACTATCTACTGGGGCTTTGAGGGGGAAAAAAAAAACAGGAGGAGGATTGGCAATAGATGTTAGCTCAGAGCCGGTCTTCCTCAGCAAAAAGAGGAGGATTAGCATGGATATTAGCTCAGGGCTGATCTTCCTCACAAAATAAATAAATAAATAAATAAATAAAAAAGAAATACCACTCAGTCATGGCACCTACTGCCTACGAGATTTCTGCTCAAGGAAATGTGTTTAGAAACGTTCACTTTTCTAAATCATCCCTTGTTAGCTCCACTGATGAGACAGTCCCGTTGCCAATATTATCAATGGAGGCAAAAGCTGAAAATCCAGTTACACGTGTTTAACAGATTTATTTCTGCTCCATCCTCTCTTTTCTTAGGGGTGTGCCAGCTGTGGTTGACTTTGCTGCCATGCGTGATGCCGTGAAAAAGTTAGGAGGAGACCCAGAGAAAATAAACCCTGTCTGTCCTGCTGATCTTGTAATTGATCATTCCATCCAGGTTGACTTCAACAGAAGGTGAGAGATTAAGATGAGTACCTGGGTTTTTTGCTTTGTGCGTAATCTTGGAGTGCAAGTGTTTTGTGTGTGTGTGTAGTTAAATAAAAGAAGAAAATCTTTAAAAGCTATATTCAGGAAAACTCAAATGTAATATAGGTTTTCCAGTGAAGACTTTATTTTGGTGGGAGGGTGAATTTTGAAAACCTTTTTTTTTTACATCTTGGGTGGGGGCAACCTGTGTTTAAATCCAGCTTGAAGTCTGGATGAAAAACGCACACATTAGTTTTTGCCATGAGAGCTTGTCGATACAAGTGTGTGTGACTTTGCAAGAGTTTGGGTTTTTTAACTACTGGAGCCATATTCCTTTTTTGATCCCCATTAACCATTTCATATCTGGCTAACTCTGCCTCTCCATGTGGGTTTCCATAATGCCTATCCCTTTTTTTCCTTTGTTCCTTCTTCTGTTGTTTGGGGTATCTGCTTCTCTTTTCCTGCCAAAATCCTACCAATAACCCTAAAATCTTAGAGGCAGTCGACAGTAAGAGTTTGTTTCTTACACACCTGCAAGTTGGTTGGGAGGTCAACTGACCTAGGCTGAGGACAGTCGGTGCTGCAGTGGCCAAGTTAACTGTATACACCGCGCTGCACATCTGCTGGGCAGCCAGCACAGCTCCAGTCCAGGTGTGTTTCTTTTGGAGCTCAGGCTGAAGGAGAAAGCAGCTATCTAGTGATTACAGAGGCTCGAGAGGGCAAGAGGGCGATCTGTCTCGAGGCCTAGAACAGGACTGGCATAGGATCACTTCTGTTCACAATGATATTAATCAAAGCAAGTCACACAGTCAAGCAGACTGTCAGGGGAGGGGGAGAACACTCTATCTCTTGTAGAAGTAACTGCAAGGTTACACACAAGCCTCTGGATACAGGGAGGGTAGCCAGGTACTGCTAGAAGGCTGGTGTCTTAATCTAGAAGCATAACTAGATAAAGTTATCATCACCTATCAGTGGGGAAAGAAGTAACTATTCTGCATACAGTGCTGGGAAAAATAATTATTTGGTGGAGGGAGCAGTTCATATGAATTAAAGCATTCATATTATAAAAATTAAATCATCAAAAATTTTAGAAGAAAATTTGAGTATATATGTGTCAAATGTCTCCATGAGAAAGACCTTGCTAAATTTAGAAGCAATGAATGAAGCAAAAAAGGAAAAAAAAATGTATAGATTTAATGAATTCAAAGTTTGGAGGAAATAACTTGAAAAGTATTTGCAACAAATATGGCAAAGGGTTAATATCCTTGATATATAAACAGTGTGTATAATCCATTTAGAAAAATAGTAAGACCCAGCAGATAAATGGGCAAAGGAAGTGGGCATGTCACAATAAATGGAAATGCAAATAGTAAACATTATATAAAGCCTTTTCAACCTCACAAGTAATAAAAAAGTAAATTAAATCCTTGAGATACCATTTTCTCTTATCAATATAGTAAAGATTAGAAAATAAACATTATTAATTCTAAAGGTGTCATGAGGGAGACACTTTTGTACACTGCTGATTGCACTGCAAATTAGAAATGGTGAATGCAATAGGTATTAAGAACTTTAGAAACTGCCTTAGCCTTGGTCCTGGAATTTCCACTTCTAAGCATACCTTTTAATAGCTATCTGAAATTCAGAAAAAGCTTAATGACTAAAGAGTGTTCATTAAAGTATTATTTATAATACTGAAAACCTGGAAGCATTCCAAATGTCCAACAAAGGAGAATGATTTATTAAATTATGGTACATCCTTGAAGGGAGTAATTAGGTGACCTTTACGGTTATATTTATAATGTGCTTAATAACACTTAGCACATGCTCATATGCCATAGCTCAGTGAGTGGATATAAATTGCGTGTATAGAGTAATCTCAGCCAGGTGAAAAGTTAGACAGAAAGATCATCTCTGGTTTTTTAACTGTTCTTTATTTTTACAATACGAAGCTACTTTTTTAATAATAAAAGGTCATTTAAGAATATGAAATAAACCATTCAAAGGGAAAAAAAAAAACCTTTATTACTTCCTTGGGGATTTAAGTGGGTTCCATACAGCCTCAAGGGAAATGTAGAAACTGGTCATTCTCAAATTAATGTCACCAATATCCAAACCAGGTAAATTCAGGATAAAGAGAAATCTACTTTGTCCCCTGAATTGATGGTTCTTGGAACAAACAGACTGGACGCTTGCCAGCTCTTACCTTTCCTTTGGACTCTAAACCTATCCTTAGGCAACGTCTTTCTCCCCCACCCCCTTCGATCACATGAGTTCAATTTAATGTTTTGGTTTCAAAGGGAAGAGTTAAAAATATATACACAAAATGTTATCCTATTTAAGATAAGGATATTTCCTAAAGTCTCACTTCGGAAGTGATAAAAGTAGCCTCACAAAATCATGGGCAACTTGATCTTTCTTGGAGACTCTCGTTGGTGTTGATAATTGACCTTCATTTCGGTGGCCTGAAGGTGAAAGTACTGGTGGAGACAGAATTGTAATTGTTTCAATGTCTAAAGTCTTTTGACTCAAAATTCAGAGAGCTCCTAACTATTAAGCAGTTAAATGAATCTAGGTCATCACTAGGTTCACTGTGATTTTTTTTTTTCCCCTTTAAACCTTGACATCCATCAACTCTGGTTTCAATTTTTTATGGACCTTTTCCATTACACTGTAGTACTGAAAATATTGTTAGGAAAACAGCAAAGTCCAGAGGTGAACTTTGATCCAAATTGATATCCAAATCTAGCAAGCACTTTTTTTCTCTTTTTTGTAGTTAAAGAGAACATTTTTGTTAGAAGTGTTTTCGTTGGTCATGTTTTGTTTTTATTTCTTGAGTTTGGTTTTGCAATTTGACCTCCCAGTCTCTTTCCTCATTTTTGTAAGGAATTAAATGTGATATGTCTCAACTTTTGTGGAAGTGTATGCTGTGGGCTTATTTCCAGCTGTTTCCAGAAATGAACTGGAAAAATTGGGTAAAGAGTGGTAGGATGATAAATTTTTTCAGTTAAAATATTCCTAAGCTCTTTGCCTGGTTTGAATAATATTAATTGACCTCACGCTATCTCTAGGAATTGAGGATCTAACTAACGCATTATTGTAATGTTTTACAAAGTTATCTCAGAAATACCCTTTTTTTAATCCCAACAAGAATATCATAACGATTTCTGACTGGATTTCATGAGTGTGAAAACTATCTCCTCTGTAAATACTGTTTGTAAGTTTGTGGAGTACCATTAAATGTAACACTCAGAAACTTTGAACTATGTCCAAATCTGAATTCAAATTATGTAAATAAGGAAAAATTTCCTCTTTAGTTTGTGAGGCCATTCGCATTCAGAGATCTTATTAAAAGTTCACCAGATTGGGTGAATTTAGGAAAGTTCTGAGTGGTGGAAAAATCCAAATTCTAGGTCTGTTTATTCCTTCCAATAACTAAACTAAGTCAAGTGAGCCCAACTTGGCATAAAAGATGTTTTCTTTTAATGAGTAAATAGGTTTTTACCTGGAATTAACATATCTTAAAACAGACTAAGCATTCCTGGCTTTTGCTTGTCCTGTGAATATGTTGTTTACATCAAAGTGATGTTCGCCTTCCACCCTTCTGCTGCAAGAAGCTGTGACACCCTCTGGTGCTGGAGGCAAGAGAACGAGGGACAATGACTGAGGTCCACAGTGCCCAGAGGACAGAAGAGATGGAGGCACCAGAGGCAGGGCCGCACATGATTAGGAATAATGTTCCAAGATGCCTTCCTTTTTTTAATAATTAAATCCATTTAACAGATCTGTTGTGTGCCAGTATTGGTTTAAGAAACAGGTTAGTTTAGAAGAGGAGAGAGTTAGTGAACACACAGCTTTCGTGCAGTTGATAAGTGTAGTAACCTCAGAGAAAGCGGCAGATCACCCCGACTTGGGGAGTCAGAAGGGTCCTTCAAGGAGTTTCCCTGGATCTGGATCCTGAAGGGTGTTTACCAAAGAGAGAAGCGCTGGAAAGGCATTCTGCACCCAGAGGATCGAGTGTGTGAAGGCATGAAGAAAGTGGGGTTTGGGGACAGCCGGAGGGCTACCGGGTGGCTGAAGCAACAGTTTGGACTGGAGGAGAGAAGAGGCTTTAGAGAGGAAGTTGGAGGTCAGAATGAAGGACTTTGATTTTTAAGGCAAGGGATTCGTACTTTATTTGGAAAATGGGAAGCCATTGGCAGATTCAAGATGGGTCCTGATGATCTGTTTGTAGAAAACCCATTCTGGTGACAGCACAAAAGACAGGTTGAATAGACTGACAGAGAAACCAGTCAGGAGGCTGTTTCTAGAATAAATATTGTGATCACTGTAGCTACAAAGTGGCAGGAGAGGAAGTCATTAGATGAGATATGGACAGACGGGGATGAGGACGAGATTTAGGAAAGAAAGTCATGCATTAGGGTTTGACCTGTTGAGTTTGTGGTGCCCGAGGTATTCCTTATGCAGAGGCCCAGGATACCTTAGGAGTATGGATCTGGACCTGAAGAGACAGGTGGGAACTGGAGGGATGGAGCCCTCAGTGTACTGGTGAGAAGGTGGAGATGAGTACCCTGAGGAAGAGCTGCAGAGGATCTAGAGGGTCCAGAGGGTCTGCTGATCTGGATCAGCACTGCAGTCCTGCCTTCTTCCACTATACCAGGGGCTCCTTTCTCTTTCTTCCTTTTGCTTTTCTCTAACACACACACACATTCACAGACGTTCATTCTCCACGTCAGGGATTGGCTAACTTTTACTGTAAAGGGCCAATAGTAAATATTTTAGGCTTTGCTGGTCACGTACTGTCTCTGTTCACATATTCTTTTTTTTTTCAACTTTTAAAAATATAAAGATTGTTCTTTGCTCAAGGGCCAACATGTGCAGGTATTGGGCCGGACATGGCCCCTGTGCTCTAGGTTGTGGCCCCTGCTCTAGGGCAGTTGGGGAAAGCAATCCCATTAAAGCAGCTGACACTTATCTTGGAGAATATTCACATCAAGAGAAAAAGAGAAGAAACTCAGCACGGTAACTGAGCATGGTTTTTGTAGCGTAAATAGTAAGTGCCTCTAGTCCTTTTCTCCCCAAGGAGCACCTACCGCTTTTTATCTGGCAGACTCCCCCTCAGCCTTCAGACTACATCGATGTCGTTTCCTCCTGGAAGGCATCCCTGACTCCCTGGTCTGAGTGTGCTGCCCGTTGGCACCTGTTCTTCCCGCATCATGACATAGATGGTCCCATTGTAGAATCGCCTGCCTGCTCCTCTCTACCCCTCCCCGGGCTCTGAGCTCCAGGTGGGCAGGGCACATGCTGCTCCTGCACCGCTGTAGTCCCAGCACGTGGCCCGCGGTAGGCTCTGTAGCTCATTAGTAAGTGAAGGAAGAGCGGGGTGAGAGTATAGTGGTTAAAGGAGGGGCTCCAGGCCCACACAGACCTGGGTTCCGGTGACAAGTGTCTGACCTTGGACAAGTAATCTATCTTTCTGTGCCTCAGCTGCCTCTTCTTTACACTGGGGTCACAGTAGTACCTGTGTGAGGGGTTGTTATGATGACTGAATGAGTTCGTGTGTGTAAAGCACTTGGAGCCTGTGACATAACCTTGCACTTTAGCTCCTGCTGTTATTATTATTGTGGTGGTGGTGGTTACCGCTGCCACCATTACTGCTGCGGTGTCTGTAACTCCTGCTTCAGGGAGGCAGTACATGTAGAGGTTTAGAGCATCGACTCGGGAGTCAGACTGACTGGGTTTCAATTCCAGTACCACCATCTGTAGCTGTGTGGTCCTGAGCAAGTTTCTCACCCTCTCTGTGTCTCAGCTTCCTCTTTTGAAAAATATGGATATTAGCTGCATCTAACTCAAAGGGTTATTATGGAGACTAAATGAGAAAGTAAATGTGAAGTCTTTAAAATAGTGTCTGGTTCCTAACAATGTCAATAAGTGTTAACTGTCAACTAATGAAGTCTACCTGGGTCTGAGCTATTAATTTTACCATCCTTTCCTCCGTTCCCTCAATCCATGACACACAGTTTGTATGCGCCTTCTGTGTGCTGCACCTTCAGAGTTGTGACTATGGCCTATTCAACCTTGACTAAAAACAATGTAGTTTGATAATAAGAACTCTGGACAAGCTTCTTGATGTCCTGCATTACCCATGTCATTCCTGATGGACTGAATGACCTTGTGTAAACCTCTGCATATAATCTGGGCTTCACAGTTGTTCTTGCGTGGCACCGTCCTCCTCATAATCCTCTGTCCAAAAGATAGGAGATTGTGGTTCTAGAAATGCCTGTGCCTCTTGGCTGGTTCCCTGTCTCCCACCATAAACAGATGAAAATGCCAGCCCAGACGTGGCTCAGCTCAGAGGGGTGTTATAACAAGGTCATGGATGAGAAAGGAGCACGGACACAAGGGTTCTTTAAACATCTAAGCTGCTGTTGTCATCATAAATGTCTTGAGTCTGTTCCTAAGAGTCAGACTTTATGATTAGTTTCGTTTTAACTTGAATTCACTTAATGTTTTCTACCCACCGTGTTTAAAGGCATTGTAGAAATCACTTGAACGGAATAATAATTATTCTTTTTACTTTCGCTGATTACCGCTCCTTTCCCGTGTGGTGAACGCATGATGCCACCCAGCAGGCCTGCGGATGAAACTGTCATTTTGTTTGTTCATCACCAATAAGTTTGGCCAGTGACATTTGAAGCCTTAAAATTTATGCATTTAGTTTTTTTCTCTGACAGGGCAGACAGTTTACAGAAGAATCAAGACTTGGAATTTGAAAGAAATAGAGAACGATTTGAATTTTTAAAGGTACGGGCAGAGCTTGGTCCCATTGACTGGTTCTTTACGTATGCGGGGTACAAGGGAGAGGTGCCTAGGAGACGGGCCTCGTAGAGGTGCACCAGGCATTCATAGTGTTCTTCCCATTTTTCAATCCTAGTGGGGTTCTCAGGCTTTTCACAACATGCGGATTATTCCCCCTGGCTCAGGAATCATCCACCAGGTGAATTTGGAGTATTTGGCAAGAGTGGTATTTGATCAGGATGGATATTATTACCCAGACAGCCTTGTGGGCACGGATTCGCACACGACCATGATTGATGGTTTGGGCATTCTCGGTTGGGGTGAGTGTTCTGCTGGGTTCCTGTTGCACATATGCTGTTCTGTGGCATGTACCTCAATTTACTTTGATACCATTACATCCCAGGAGCATGAACATGCATGACCTCAAGTGTCAGAGGGATTTTTGTCTGTTACAGCTGTATTTGCAATGCCCCCAAAAGTGCCTCATGCCTAGTAGGCACTCAATAATAATGTTTGAAAGAATGAACTGGAATAAGAGGTTAGGGACATTTAGAATAAATAAACATCACCTGGGGTGTTTGTTAAAAAGGGAGACTCTTGAACCCCACTCTCCATTTCAGTGTGGAATCAAGGGGATTTTGATACCAGTGTTTGGGGAACCACACTTTGAGAAACACTTGTTAAAAATTCTGTACAGGGAAATAGAGAAAAGATAACTGTTCTTTATAGAAACAGAACTCTGTACTAGTAAAACATGGTAACTGGTTCTGTCACCTGTCAATGACACTGAGTGATGCCTGAGGGATACAGCGGGGAATAATGGAAGCATTCTTCTGTCACACCTGTTCCTTGCAGGTGTGGGTGGTATCGAAGCAGAAGCCGTCATGCTGGGCCAGCCAATCAGCATGGTGCTGCCCCAAGTGATTGGCTACAGGCTGGTGGGAAATCCCCACCCTCTGGTCACGTCCACTGACATCGTGCTCACCATTACCAAGGTAACGATATGCTGCCCCCTCTGTGGTCTTGGAGAGTCCTTGCAGGGAGGAAATACAGATGGAGTCTCAGGAAAACATGGTGGTTTCCATGTGTTCTGGAAATGCTAGGAAACAGGATGTCGGTGACTTAAAAAGAGGTGAGATAAGGGGACAGTTCTGTGGTTAAGTTTCAGATAATTATAATGATCTGAAGCAACCCTTCTGTTGCTGCATGGATCATTTTCTTTAAAAAATTTTTTTGAAATTGTGAAATAATTCAAATACACAGACATTAAAATGACATTCCTATGCCCGCCACCTAGGCTTAACAGATGGTAACATTTTGCCATATCTGCTTCAGAGCTCTCTCTGTGTGTATGTTTTTTAAGAAATAAAATGTAATATTTATGGCTAAAGCCATCCTCCCCATTCCTAGAAATAATCAGTATCTTGAGCTTACAAGAATCACTCGAACGCATGTGTTTATACTTTTGATACATTTTTTCTACATGGTTCTTCTTTATACGCAAATAACAAACTCCTATGAATAATGCTTGGCTTTTTTTATTCCCTTCTCTGTTATAAGTTACATTATTGTAACAGATGTTTCTCCAAGCTGGAAAATATTACTTTTCTTTTCCTTTAGGAAAATAATCTTTTGTTGTCATTTGCTGGCTTTGCGAAAAGAAGGCAGTTTCATTTTGAAAGATTGTTACGAAAGTGATGGTCTTTATTATCATAAACAGTTCTTTCTGGTTGTCTAGTTTGGAGGCTGGGGTGTTGGGGATGGACACTAGACTGTTAAAGGCCAAAAAAAGTTCCTCTTTGATTTAATCTTCATGGAATTTGGAATTGGATTTATTTGAACACTATAGCCTATTGTAGATATCTGTGCATTGTTCTTCAAATATGGAGTAATATAAGCCTTGCCCACAAAGTTTGGGAGAATCGCATGTAATCAGAGAGCCTATCCATGTGGTTGTCCACAGTTCACGAAAGGGCCAAGTCAGTCTCTGAGGCCCCAGCCCTGGCCACTGGCCTGTAGGGAAAAGATACCGGAGTCAGAATGTCTGCATCTTTGGGTTACGTTTGACTCGTACCTGTGTTCAGGAAATTTGTTCATTATACCCTTGAAAACAAGCCATTTACTTACTCAAATGGTGCAAGTCATAATTTGTTTGGGTTGAAAGAATTTATTTAATTTTTAGCACTTCAAGGCACTTCCAATGATCTCATTAGAGAGGGTGTTTCTCATCTTGAAAAACTTTTCTTAATATTGTTATTTGTATTTTTGGCATTACTTTTTTTTTGTAAAAACTGTTTTGACGTAGTTTTAGATTTACAGGAGGATTCACGTAAAGATAATACAGAGCGTTCCTGTTACCTTTCTCCTAGCTTCCCCAAATGTTGACATCTTACATAACGGTGGCACGTTTATCAAAATGGAGATGTCAACGAAGTTATGACATTGTTAACTAAACTAGAAACTTCACCAGTTTTTTCCAGAATGTCTCTTTTCTGTTCCAGGATCCAGTCCAGGATACCATGTTGTATTTAGTTGGCATGATTTTTAAGTTTTATTTTTTAAAGTAATAAAAAATATGTTGAGCTAATTTTTTGTGTTGACTCACAAAGCTAGTTTATAAGAATTTCTAGCTGCATGTTAAACATGGGCTCTCAAGTCTCAAGCTTTGCTGTTGTTCTGCTGCACAGCACCTCCGCCAGGTCGGGGTAGTGGGCAAATTTGTTGAGTTCTTCGGGCCAGGAGTAGCCCAGTTGTCCATTGCTGACCGAGCTACCATTGCCAACATGTGTCCAGAGTACGGAGCAACTGCTGCCTTTTTCCCGGTTGATGAAATTAGTATCAAGTACCTGGTGCAGACGGGTAAGTGCAGACCTGTGAAAGCAGAAGGCCCTTTGTAAAGTTTTGTAGAACCCTGAGAACCAGAGCTCTCCCTTCCGCCTCTGCCCCTGGGGGTGCACTGGGTCAGATTCACAGTTTTTGTCTTCTCTCTGTGGAGTCAAAGTGGTTGTTGGAATTTCAGAAGATGTGAGGTAGACATAGTACGGCCAATAGAAAGAGCACAGGTACTCTGGAAGCCTAGATATTTATACTGGTCTACTGCTAGTTATTTGACATGAAACAAGAGATCTTAGTATGGTAGCTGCTGTCTGTGGGGCATCTGCTGAGTGCCAGACACTTGGCATGCATTCGCTCTCATCCTCTTCACAGACCTAGTCATGAGTGGCTTAACGACAGGGTTACATTCTGAGAAATGCATCATTAGGTGATTTCATTGTTGTGCAAACATCATAAAGTATACTTACACAAACCTAGAGGTTGTAGCCTACTACGCACCTAGGCTGTGTGGTGCTAATCTTATGGGACCACCGTTGTATATAAGGTCTGTCGTTGACCAAAACATCGTTATGGGGCACGTGACTGTATAGGGTAGATTGATTGATTAGTTAATTAACTAATAGAGAAAACTGAGGATCAGAGAGGTGGAGTTAATATCCAAAGCTTGTAAATAATGAGCTAGAATCCAAACCTGAGGCTGCCTGGCTCCAAACAGGGACCGTGCTCCGTGACACCCTCGCAGGGCTGTCTGAAAGGTACAATGAAAGACTGCCTCTGAAGGCATTTGGAAATGTCGACAGTTCTTCAGCTCTGTATATATGTATTTACAGATTTGACTTTAACTTTGAGAAAGGTTTTTTTTTAAATTTCTTAAGTGTATTTATTAAATATTAAATATTCATTCAGCCATTCATTTAACACATTATCAGTATCTGGTCGAGGTCCCAGAGATCCAGCAGTGAGCAAGGTAAAGTCTGTGCCCTCATGGGGCTCACATTCCAGTGAAGGAGACAGACAGTGAACAAGTAAACAAACACATACATAAGCGTTTATATGTACTATGTTTACATTTATGAGATGATGAAAAAGAAATCAGGGAGGTGGTTGAAGTAGCCTGAAGGTGCTAGTTTATGTCTAGGAGAGTCAGCGAGGGGTTCTTGGAGGTGAAATCTGAAGAGATGGCTGAGTGACATGGGGGACGAGCCCTGGAAAGTGGTGGGGAAGGCATTTTCCAGGCAGAGGAAACCACAGTGCAAAGGCCAGGACAGAGACGGGCTTGGTGGGTCAGAGGACAGCAGAGGGGCCTGCGTGGCTGGAGCCCAGGGTTGAGGCCGTGGGAGGTGAGGTCAGGGGGTGGGTGGAGAGGGGCCAGATCCACACAAGGGCTTGCAGGCTATGGTTGGCAGTTAGGATTTTATTCTGAATGTTCTAGGAAGCCACTGGGTCATTTTGAGCAAGAAGGAAACATGAAATAATTTTATTTTTAATATCTCATTCTATGTGACAAAGATGGGGGAGACATTTCATTTTCCAAATGTACTTTTAAAATTATAACTAAGTTATTAAGGAGAAAAGAACAGGGAGTTTTCATCCATATCCAGTGTTTACTTACTAGTGAAGGGTTCCAGTGGCCAGCGTTTCTTTTGAAATGTCAGGAGTGGTAGGCATTTAAGGTAAGAGCTGGGCCGAGGTGTCTTGGCAAGTGCACATCTCCTCGTCAAGTTTCATGAGAATCTTACAAGGAGGAAGGAGGGAAAAGTACAAAATACATCCAGAGCTGAGAAGAGTGTCTCTAGAGGTGGCCACTAAACTTCCCAGTGATCTGGCACCGTATTTGTAGCATCTATTAAATTGAAACAAACACACTGCTTCAGAGAACTAGAACCCTTTCTCCTACTGAAACCTAAGAGGAATTTCTCCTGTGCATCTTCATGAAGAGATGGCATGGGATGTAATGAACAGAGGGTCCAACAACAAGTTGTGATAAATATGTTAATGAAGCTTGGACAGTCACCTTTTATGAGGTCCATGCTGAAAACTGATGACCTTTACAATTCAGTTACAGAGGCAGACAAAAAACGCTGGTCTAGGGGCCGGCGTGGTGGCATAGCGGTTAAGTCCGCAGGCTCCACTTCGGCGGCCCAGAGTTTGCAGGTTCGGATCCTGGGCGTGAACCTACACACTGCTCATCAAGCCATGCTGTAGCAGCCGTCCCACATAAAATAGAAGAAGATGGGCACAGATGTTAGCTCAGGGCCTATCTTCCTCAGCAAAAAGAGGATTGGCAACAGATGTCAGCTCAGGGCTAACCTTCCTCACAAAAAAAAAAAAAAAAAAAATGCTAGTCTATTGTGAGTCCAAGAATCAAGCTCTGAAACAGTCTTATTCAGCTGTCAGAGATTCAGGGGGATTGCATGTCCACTGGGCGTACTTCATGAGTGTTATCTTCTGTAACCAGGGTCTTGATAAGAATTAATCAGCAGAGCATTCAGGGTCATATTCCTGGTGATACAGGTTTATGAGTTAAGACTTTGGACTTTCCAATCAATCTCAGGTTTGGAGCCTGGTTCTATCGTTCACTGGCTGTGTTCCATAGAAAAGTTACTTAATCTTGAGCCACCATTTCCTCATCTATACATGAGAATAATAACAGTGCTTGTCTCATAAAGTCATAATGAGGGATTGGAGATTGAGATAATGTATTCAAAACGTTTAGCACACAGTACCAGACACACAGGAAGTGCTTATAGCTGGTCGTTTGTGGAAGGAATCAGGGTGGATTATTATTTTAACAGTAAGGTGTGGAATGCTGAGAGTCAGTGGCCAGTTGGAGGCAGATGCATAGGTGTGCTTTGACGGTTAGCTAAGGCTTAGGGTCTTCCTAATTAAGGACATAACCAAAGCGAGGGGAGTGCTTATAGTAGGACCAGAATCTTCTTCAGAAAATAGTCACTTTTTTGTAAGAATAATAGTAAGAATAATAGATCAGTTCATGGCCCCTAATAAACAGCAGCATCAGCTAGAGAGGCAGACTATTTGCTTGAACACTGAATTATCAGCAGAGCCATTGGTGTTTGTAAGTGAAATGCGTGTTACTTGTATAATTGCTGGTGGAGGCATCAGTTTGTAGACTTTAACCAGGAAATATTAACATATTACTTGTTATCTCTTAAAATGCCTATTTAGGTCGTGATGAAAAAAAGATAAAGCATATTAAAAAGTACCTTCAGGCTGTGGGGATGTTTCGGGATTTCAGTGACCCCTCTCAAGACCCAGACTTTGCCCAGGTACGAGAGTGCCTTCCACCGAACGTGTGTTTCCTCTTCCTCAAGGCTGTGCTGTTAGTGGTGTGTGGTGTTTCTTGGGGTGTGTTTGTAGGAAATTAGTCACTGCCAAGTCATCACAGAAGAACAGGGTGTTAAACGGCTGAAAGTCAAAAAGATAAGGAATTGTAAACATACCAAAATAATAGAACTTCTTCCATTGCTCCTGGCCATCAGGTGGAGTTGGGTGCGCTCTCCATTTTTGAACTACTGATTTACTCCTCCTGTGTGGAAGGCCTTTGAAGAAGGACTTCACAAGAGGGACTAGAGCTGTTTGAAGGCTAAGCTCATCATCATGACAGATGGGGGAAGAAGTGGAAGTGCAAACATCTCAATTAGTTCCGACTTATCCAACCACTGACCTTCCTTCACTGTCCAGGGTGCAAACTGAATCAACATTTTTCTCAGCAGCCAAGATCAGAGGGTCTACTAGACGTGGGACCCTTGTTTTCTTTCATGTTACGTTGAGGGAAGGAAATATTCACTTAGACTAAGGCCGTTTCCTGGCGTTGATGACTTAATGACTGCATCCCTCCCAATCGTCTAAGTGCAGGGGCTTATGTGTCATTTCAGTAGAAAATCCATCTCAGACTAACCTAGGCAATAAGTGGATGTATGAGCTGCTTTATAGGGACAGACAAGTGGAAGACACTGGCAGCAGCTACACTGCCCGCTCTGGTCTTTCTGAGAAGTGGCAAGGCTTCCTGCCTGTCCCACGCTACTTAGGTGCCCATCTTGATCTTTGGAAATTCATCTCCCGAGTGTTAAAATGAACACTGATTTCTTGGTGAGTGTGGTGGCTTCGTTTGTTTGTTTGTGTTGTTGTGGTGTTTTAAGTTCTCGGGCATGGATGTGTTTTTTCTTTGTGGGTGTAATGCCAGTTCTGCCCCTCCTTTTCTTTTGGGTGCACAGATTGTGGACTTAGATTTGAAAACAGTAGTGCCATGTTGCAGTGGACCCAAAAGGCCTCAGGACAAAGTCGCCGTGTCTGACATGAAGAAGGACTTCGAGAGCTGCCTTGGAGCCAAGGTAGGGGCCCAGAGAGGCAGGTGGAAATCCCCCCGACGTTCCCCCTGCCCGGTTTCTTGGTGCCCAGGCTTCATTTCACCGCCCTCGATGATGAATCTTCCTGAAGCCTGGCGCTGAGGGCATTTCTTCTTCATCCTATCGTCCTTAATGACCCCCATTAGCTAAGAGCCAGGCAGCTTCCTTAGAGCACTTGATCACCTGTAAACACAGCTCAGCCCACCTTTTTTCAAAGCATATTTGCTTTTCACGTGACTCTCACCACTTTGTCCTCTCTCCTTGCCCGAGCTTTTCTGGTGATTGTACTTCCATCCATGCCGTCCCCTGCCTGCGTGTCTGTTTTCCTCTGTGTCCTAATCCATCAGCTCCTCCACAACACGGCCTCAGATCTCAGAGCACAAAGTCGTCTTTCCCTCAGCTGCACCTTCATGACACTTGGTCTGAAACCCGTTGTTGGCATTCCATGTTCTTTAACTTACATTGTTGGTACTTTATATTATTTGCATGTCTCATTTCCCTACTGGACTGTGTGTTAGAGGATGGGATTTGTGTCAGAATCACCTTTGTATCCCACAGTGTACCTAGCGTAACATCTTGTAGACAGTAGATTTTCAATGTATGGTTCCCAAATGCATGATTACTATGGGTGATGGGCATTCTGCTTGTGACACCAACATTACACCAAAGGTCCAGCTATACTGTGTGCGCCTTATTGGACAGGATGAGTTGAATCTGGCCAAAATGGCACCTATTTCTAAATTTCCATCGGGTTAGAATCAGTGGCACCGGTCCGTATCCGTTAAACTCTATAATAATGTCGTCGAGTTCTAGTTAGACTAACTTTGAACTAAATTTGTAGTTTTAGCATTTTCATTTTTGAGGTGGGAAGGAAGTAATTGTTAATAATTTCAAAGCAGAGTAAGATTCAGAAGTTATGACTGCCTTTTGTAATGATTTTAAAAGAATAAAGAGAACTTAAATTTTTCTGTAGCATTTCAGAGTTTACTGGCCAAGATATTTATGTTTTGTTAAGAATTGGCCTATAAAATTATAGTTGCCAAAGTATTTCTTCTTCTAAAGTGAGAACTTTTGACTGTATATATATATATATATATATATTTTTTTTTTTTTTCCTTCCTATAGCAAGGGTTTAAAGGATTCCAGGTTGCTCTGGAGCATCATAACGACCATCAGACGTTTATCTATAATAATTGTGAGTTCAGCCTTGCACACGGTTCCGTAGTGATTGCTGCCATTACCAGCTGCACAAACACCAGTAATCCGTCTGTGATGTTGGGAGCCGGTAAGCGCATTCAAATCCCTCCCCATGGTCATGTGGACATGCGGGTGGAAATCTCCCAAGACATGACCCTTAACTGGGCTTAACTGGGCTCTTCATATAGTTCCCTGAGCCTTACCTTTTCCAAATACAGAGATTTTTTTGGCCCAGAAATGTTTACACAATAAATAGCATCTAAAGCAAATTATTCAAAGTAGAATACATAATGCATAATCGTCTTTAGAATTTACACAGAAAATAAGTAGAAGAAAGCAAAAAAAGATGAATTTCTGGTAAAGCCTAGAATCTTATGTCAGACTTTGGAAGAAAAAAAACTGTTGTCACGTCACGACTATTGTCTGTAAAAGCCCTGATAGGCCTGTTGTACAGTGGAACTTAGTCTAGCTTAGTGGTGTTGTCAGGTGCATCTGAATTAGGGTACAGGGCACTGGTTGATAAAACTCACCTGCCTCTCATGCAATTCTGGTTAAGCAGTTAATATGTACCTGCAGAGGTTCATTAATATAAGATCTCCTTAGTTTCCAAATTTTTGATCATCCCCAAGAGTTCCTCTTGTGCCCATAGACCAAAGAGTATCAGCAATTCTTCCTTTATGAAATGGACAAGTGCATAAGGGAAAACCTTCTTTGTCCAAGAATTCATCTGTTACCACCTAAGCTTTTCTTGTCTGAAGCAAACCAGTTTCCTTGACAAGTCACCAGCGTTTCTGTAGGTTTGTGTCTCTTTATACCCTCACTCCTCATTTCTTTCCTGCACCTGTCATCCGTCCAGCGTCCTGTAATGGTCTCTGTATTTGCCGAAAGTATGATGGACCAGGAACTCTTCATCTTCCACTTCGAGAAATATCTGAGGACTAGATTTTTCCTTCTAGACTGACTGTTTCCTCACCGACCAGTACACAATTCATATACGTTAAGAAAAGGAGCTTCCAATTATAATTTTCATCCAAATGAAACATAATTAGAAAGATCACTTTCCCTCCAAAAATTAAAAACTCATTCTGTAATATATTCCTAAACGGTTCTAGGTTTATCTCTTAAAAAAAAAAACGCATCTCTTTCTCCATTTCCATGACTAATTTTGAATTTACTGCATCCATGAAAATGCCTTTGGGCCAGTGAGCTTTTGATGTCTGTGAGGCAGCAGAGATGGCAGAAGGCGCCTACATGAATGGGGCTTTGTCAGGCGGTGGCAGGAAGTGCAGACTGGCGAGTCGGGCTCTTTCCTGACCTGTCCCTGGCACCTCAGGCAGGCGGCCACCTACACGGCGTCTGTGCTTACCGTTCACAGGGCTGTTAGCAAAGAAAGCTGTGGATGCTGGCCTGAGCGTGAAGCCTTACGTCAAAACCAGCCTGTCTCCTGGAAGTGGGGTGGTCACCTACTACCTCCGAGAAAGTGGCGTCATGCCTTATCTGTCTGAGCTTGGGTGAGGGAGAATTTTCTTCTGCACCATTGCTTTTGTTGTGTTTTATTCCACACGTATCTTGCCGTGTCACCTTGTCGCAGATGCAAGCTTATCTGATGTCTCTGATGGCATAGTCTTTTGTCTGATGGTAAGTAGACTTAAACCGTTACATTCCAGCAGAGCAGGGCCCTCCCGTGGACAGTTGTGCTGTTGTTCGTGAGACGAGGGCGCCCGTGAACGGCAGAGCAGGGGCTGAAATCAAGCCTGTGCTGTGGCGTAGTGCTGCACCCTCCTGGAGGAGGGGGCGCCTTTTCTCTCTCAGTTGCACAAAGGTATCGTAGGAGCCGGCATTGGCTCTGCACCTGGGAGTCTGCCCTTCGGTATGAAAATAATTATTTACCGTGGCTAAAAATGTTCTGACTCCTTGAAGGAAATTATTCGTTGCCAAATGCAGTTTCTCCAATTTCCCCATTATTCCTCATTTGGATGACATAGATTTTATGCATATTCATTTATTCATAGATTTTATTCATATTTCATTTACAAAAGTCAGAAGCCCTTGGGATTATGTAATAAAAGTAGTGAATAGAGACATTAAATTGCATATCTGATTTCAACTTTTAAAAAGTCTAGATCATTCAGTTAGACTCTTTTTTATAAGTTACTCAAAAAGGAGTGTAATTGAATGATCTAGAATGGATGAATAGTATATCAAAATACTCCCAAGAATGAAAGTGTGATAGAAACAGCCATGCACTAAGCTTATTTCCTGTGCTGGGATTCTCTCTGTATCAGTGGTCTCTAGGGACTGTTACCTGCAGAGGGCTCCCTGAGCCTTATTCTCCATCTTGTGCTTCTCTTCTGGCACAGGTTTGATGTGGTGGGCTATGGCTGTATGACCTGCATTGGCAACAGTGGTCCCTTACCTGAGCCTGTGGTAGAAGCCATCACGAAGGTAAGTACAGAGGAGGCTGTGGGTCTTCACAGCTGTTGTCTCTTTTCATGTGATGTGTGACCAAAATGCTGGTAACTTCAAGAAGGTTCTGGGAAGCAGGGGATGTGGTTAGATGTATGGTTTTTGGAGTCAAGCTAAACTTACTAGCTGTTCAACCTCGGGCAAGCTCATTAACCCTTTGTGCCTCAGTTTTCACAATGCTAAGTTGGAGATGGTAATAGTGCCTGTGTCATAGAGTTGTGAGCATTGAGATGATAGTGGACATAAAAGACTCTGTGTGGTGCGTGGCACACAAGTGCTGAATAAATGCTGGTTTTCACTACAGAGGGTTCCAGAATTGTGTGTTCCTGGTTCAAAGTCAGACAAGTCTCCACACAAATGAATCTAAATTAAATTGCATTAGCTTAATTTTTGTCCCATAAATTCTGTAGTGTTGAGAAACACTATTTGGTTTGCTTTGCATGAATTATAGAATTCACGTACGTCACTGTGGCTTCCTTTAGCTTTCAACTTTGAGTCTTTCCCACCTGTTCTTAGGCCCCAGACAGCAAAGTAACCACGGTGTTGTCTTCTGACCTACCTGGCATTTTCTCCTGAGCAGAAACCACTGGGCATGTCTCTCTGTGTCTTTTACCCAGAGTGTCCCCCACAGGGACATCCCTGTGTGGCCCCCTGCAGGGGAGAGGACCAGGTGAAAGGGAACTGAAAGAGCCACAGCCACTCTGGCAAATGGTCTAAGACGAGAAGCCAAGGCAGTCTCTTCTCTCTGTGACCTGAGTTTTCTCTCGCCTTACGCAGGGGGACCTTGTAGCTGTTGGAGTTCTATCTGGGAACAGGAATTTTGAAGGTCGAGTCCACCCCAATACCCGGGCCAACTATTTAGCCTCTCCGCCCTTAGTAATAGCATACGCCATTGCCGGGACCATCAGGATCGACTTTGAGAAAGAGCCATTGGGTAAGACTTTGTTTGTGTGGTTACAATCTTTTTTCCCCTGAATTCAAAAATATTACTGGAAGAAAGTTACTGCTTTCCTTAATAAATAATGGAGGATAGAACTTCCAGAGATGAGATGAGAAGGAGAGTCTTTTCTTTATGCCCCAAGACCCAGCTAAGACATAACTGAAATAAACCAGAATTTACTAAAGGGTAAAGGATAACAAAAGAGAAATGAAGTAAAGGAGTGGAGAGCTCGCCATTCTGGCTTCTTGTCTGGTTCCTCTTCCCAGCTCCTGCTTTACCCTAATGATAGGCACTGTTCTACTGTCTCCTCTGTAGGAACATCCCAGATAGTTCAGCTTCTCAAAATTCAGGGGAAATGATGCTTTGTGTGCTTTCCTCTGGTCCTGCTTGCTATACCCTCAATCCGTTCTAAGCATGTTAGACAATATGAAAACAATGCCCCTTAAATTTAGTTTTAGGAAATCATAACTTCAGAGGTACAGTTGATCCTCACTATTTGTGGATTCTATATTTGCAAATTTGCCTAGTCACACAATGTGTTTTAACCCCAAAATCAATACTCGTCCTGCTTCCGTGGTCATTCACAGACCTGCACGGAGGGGTTAAGACTTTGAGTCACTCAATGTGCATATTCTCAGCTGAGGTTGATCAAGGCGGTTCTCTGCCCTTTTGCTTTAGCTGTCATACTGTAAACAAGTGTCCTGTTCGTGGTCTATTTAGTGCCACATTTTTTGCATTTTTGTGCTTTTTGTTGGTGATTTCACTGTTTAAAATGGCCCCCAAGTGCTGTGCTGAAGTACTGTCTAGTGTTCCTAAGCCCGATGAGCCTGTAATGTGCCTCGTGTTAGACAGGCTCCATCCAGGCAGGAGTTACAGTGCTGCTGGCCGTGAGTTCAAGGTCAATGCATCAACAGTGTATATTAAATAATGTGTCTGTAGGGCCAGCCCGGTGGCTTAGCGGTTAAGTGCTTGTGCTCCACTACTGGCGGCCCGGGTTCGGATCCTGGGCTTGCACTGACGCACCACTTCTCCGGCCATGCTGAGGCCGAGTCCCACATACAGCAACTAGAAGGATGTGCAGCTATGACGTACAACTATCTACTGGGGCCTTGGGGGGCAAAAAAAAAAGGAGGAGGATTGGCAATAGATGTTAGCTCGGAGCCGGTCTTCCTCAGCAAAAAGAGGAGGATTAGCATGGATGTTAGCTCAGGGCTGATCTTCCTCACAAAAAAATAAATAAATAAATAAAATTTAAATAAGGTGTCTGTAAACAGAAACACACAAGAAGTGAGGTTATGTATTGATTGGTAGATGAAAATGTTGTGATGAGAGACTCTTAGGACCTTACCCCTGTGTTTCCCTGGAGGCAGTGATTCGTTATTCACTAATGCAGTATTTACGTAAACTTTATAGGACGTAACAACTGTGAAGAACAAGACTTGACTGTATGTAATAATGAAAATGGGGTATTAAGTGAAGTTTTTCTCATTCATAAACATTTTTTCCCAGGGGTAAATGCAAAGGGACAACAGGTATTTCTGAAAGATATCTGGCCAACTAGAGACGAGATCCAGGCGGTGGAGCGTCAGTACGTCATCCCTGGGATGTTTAAGGAGGTCTATCAGAAAATAGAGGTGAGGTCCCCCCACCTGCCCCCAGGGATCTAAGGGGAAGCTGCTTCCTTGTGTCATAACCTTAGGCCAATGAGGGTATAAACTCTAGGAAGTAACGTTTAATTCCTCAGAGAACTAGGGAAGTGGTTCTCAGTCATTTCTCTCCTGTGACTCACGTTTGTACAAACCCCATACTCCCCAGATGTTCCCAGATTTGGACAAGTGGGCGGCAGCCTCAAGAAGAGAAGCCCCAGGTTGTGTGTCATCCCTGGCCAGCTCGCCGTAACACTCCCCCTTTTCTCAGACACCCCGGGGTGTTGTGTCACCTGTGGATGAGGACCCCCGACATCACTGTAGTGTGTCACTGAGGTGGAGTTATTTGGTTGAATGCGCCTCTCTGAATTATTTGGATGCTTAAAAAAAATAAATAAATAAAAGCCACTCAGAAGGAAGCACCAAACCAGCAAACTGCTAAAATAAATAAAACCTTCTCTGCACGTTACAAATAGGGAGAAAATGTATGGGGCCCAGTGTTATTTTCTGAGACCCTTGGGTTTTATTCCTCCCCCTGCTTTCTGTGTTCGCTGGCCCAAGGGCTGCCGACTGGGGCTTGGGTTGGAAATAAGAGAGCCGACTGTCTGGGGAGAGGGGTCAAACAGGGGTCATATTCGTGCACTCCACCTTCCCACGAGTGGCTCATTGGGCAATGGTATGGGGGAGTTTGGGGGGCATTGGATTAAATGCATTTCTCCAAAGGCTGAGTTAATGGACCTGTGGAGAGAATTCAGGCTGATTTGAATGCATAGCAGCTGTCATTTGCTATCCAATGTCCATGTGACCTGGAAGTCTACTTCCCAGAATCTTCAGAGAGTAAATAATTTCCCCTTTGGTACAGTCTGGATTATTACTTCATAAGTTATATTTATAAGTGTATGGATTAGTTATCTGTTGCTGTACAGCAAACTACCCCAAACCTTAGTGGGTTGAAACAGCAAGCATTTATTATCTCACAGTTTCTGTAGGTCAGAAATCCAAGTGCAGCTTAACCAGGTGCCTCTGCCTTCACAAGTCTCCAGTCAAGGTGTGATCTGGGGCTGCGGTTCATCTGAAGGCTCAACTGGGGCAGGATCCACTCCTAAGGGCTCTCACGTGGTTGTTGGCAGGATAAAGTTCCTCACAGGCTGTTGGACTGGGGGCCTCAGTTCCTTGCTGACTGTTAGCTAGAGGCCTCCCCCAGTGCCTTGTGCCTTGCTCCGTGGGTCTCTTCACAGGTCACAGCATAGTACTGGCTTCTGTCAGAGCAAGCAAATGAGAGAGCAAGAAAGGATGAGAGAGACAGAAGGCAGAGTCTCTTTATAACCTAATCTTGGAAATGAGTTATTAGGTTCCGCTCATACTCAGCAAGAGGGGATCACTTAATGGTGTGAATCCCAGGAGGTGGGGGGGGGGCGTCCTTGGGGCCATCTTAGAGGCTGCCTATTGCAGTGTACGTGTATTTTTAAGTGACTTAGCATGGCATTGTCTACTATAAAGAACTCTTTTGTGTGACTAGAATAAGAATAGTTTTATAGTACTCTTAGCTTGAATATACGTTTTGTATTTGCACATTAAATTTTCCTTAGAATGGAATGTGATTAGATCTGACTTTCTTTCTTTTTTTTTTTTTTTAAGACTGTGAATGAAAGCTGGAATACCTTAGCAGCCCCATCAGATAAGCTGTATTACTGGAATCCCAAATCTACGTACATTAAATCACCACCATTCTTTGAAAACCTGGTATGACTTTTTATTTTTTATCATAATGAGTTCCTCAAAAGATTTCTTTCCTTATAAAATCTACTTTATTACCCCAGACCCTTGATTTGACACCCATTTCGTTAAAACTCTTACTAACCCCAAGAGATCATACTGGGGAGTTTTGGAAGCTGGGACATTTGGCCTACAGTTTCTCTGTCCAGGGCTTCTGTGTGGCTGTGTGGGGACACCCTGGTGTTCAAGTACCACCTGGACGTACACTCAATGAAGTCTGAGGGACTGTTCCAGGAGAACATCCCCAAGGCCCGCCACATTTAAACCTTATACCCTTAAAAACAAGGGGATTCTTTCCTGAAACTGATGATCAAGGAGTCTGTGCTCCCCTGGGTGGATCCCTGTGGGAAGGGGATGGGAGTAGAAGCCAGGATTCCAGTTGTCCTCAGCATTTGAGGAGTTCTGTGGGTGTGGAGAAAGAGAATATCATTTGCAGCTGCATCCCTGTTGCTTTTGAGGGAATAGTGCCAATACTTGCCTTTCCTTCAAGGGGGAGAGATGAACGTTTTGGGTAAATTCACTTTACTTTTCTAAGCATCCCTGATAAAACTGAAAAACTAGAATTTTCTGTATGTTGATGTAGGGCTATCATCTGGTTGAGGTCCTTGGAGACGACTATTGGGTGTCCCAGGTGACTTGATGGAGAAAACCTGGGCAGACACTGACTTGTTGTGTTCTTTGCTAGACTTTGGATCTTCAGCCCCCTAAGTCTATAGTGGATGCCTACGTGCTGTTAAATTTGGGAGATTCAGTAACAACAGACCACATCTCTCCAGCTGGAAATATCGCACGGAACAGCCCCGCTGCTCGCTACTTAACTAACAGAGGGTAAGTGTGAGCGAGGTGAGGAGAGACACAGGTGAAAGTGGAGTGAAAGAGGCCAGTATTTCTCATTTCACATGGTCTCTTGGGAATCAGACTCTGGGGCTTGGAAACTGAACCCTGGGGCTTGGAAACCCATCACTCTTTCTGTTTGCTGCTTCACAGCTTCCATGGGCGACGCCACCAGCACGTGAACCCCAGCGGGGTGGGGGGAAGGAGACCTTCTCTCTGAGCAGGTGTACTCATGGGCTCAGCTGTCATCCCTGCCCTCTGCTTGGCTCATTGTTAAAGTACAAGGCTCTGCCTTTAACCTGTGGCAGAGCCCGGTGACACTGAGGCACACAGCAGGGGTATAACCATTGCTGGTTGAGACATATTCCTCCCAGGGCACTGCTCCAGCGATTCCAGTTCACACACCCGTTCCTCAATCCTTCAGTCATATACTGATTTTAACAGGTATCATTCCAGTATTATCTCCTGTTATCTAATATAGCTGTATTCATCAAAGTCAGTCTCAAATCTGACTTTCCACGAGAATCATCTGGGGAGAGAAAAATTCCTAGTTCCTGTCCCCGCCTCCTAAATCAGCTTATTCAGGGATGGGCCCAGAGCCAATTTGAGGGACAAAATCCAACACATTTTTTTTGGGGGGGGAGGAGAAGGATCAGCCCTGAGCTAACATCTGCCAATCTTCGTCTTTTTGCTGAGGAAGACCGGCCCTGGGCTGACATCCGTGCCCATCTTCCTCCACTTTATATGGGACGCTGGCCACAGCATGGCTTGACAAGCGGTGTGTCGGTGTGCGCTCGGGATCCGAACCAGCGAACCCCTGTGGCCACAGCGGAGCACGCGCACTTAACCACTTGCGCCACCGGGCCATCCCCAACACAATTTTTTGATTAGTAATTGTTGACGTCTTTTGAGACACGGACTCTTGAGGGAATTGAATGGAAGCAATTAGAATAACTTCCCAAAAAATGCTCACATCCACAACATTTTGGATATAATCTCCAGGGTTCATAGACATGCTCACCTGCTCCTGAAGCCCATTCATAGACTCTCTCAATCCTCGGATTGGATCTAACCTCTAAATGATATTAACACTCACACAAGCTCCATAGCATTTTAAGAAACAGCCCAGTGAACTGCTCACTGTGTTCACTGTAAGATGCTATTCCTGGCATCACAAAGTTTCCTTTCTTTGGGGCTCACAGGAAGACTTCTCTGAGTTCAGGACCAGGAATAGCTGTTCCGCCTCTCTGGTTCTGCTTTGATTTTTATCCTATGAAAGTTGTGAATCATGTTGCCAGTTGTGTCTTCCTTTGTGTCGAGTTCCTGATAACTCGGGGACAAATCTGAACCTGCTCCTGCTTAGTTCCTGGGACGTATTTTGTGTTTCCCCCATTCTTGGCTCCATCTGACTGGCCTACTCTCATGGTTCTCTCTGCTTCCTTTCTCTTATCTGTTTTCAGTGTTTGACCTTTCATGAAGTTTTATAGGCTACCCTATTGAATAAATAAAATCAATACTCTTGTTCCTCCTGATTTTTCTACCCAGATTTATACGACTGTAAGTTGACCCTGGGAGAATGTTGGTTCCCACCCTTCACCCCCCACTTCTCGCCTCTCACTCTGCCCTCAGTTGAAGCCACAGGCACAGCTTTTCTGCCTTGGAGAACAACGCTTAGTGGAGTTAGAGAAACAGCTAGTTTATGGGTTTTTCTTTTCTTGGTGTAAGTTTAATCTTCGCTTGGTTCACTAAACCAGCTCCTCTCCTGCTTTGCGTTATTAGCCTGACTCCACGAGAATTCAACTCCTACGGCTCCCGCCGGGGTAATGACGCCATCATGGCGCGCGGGACATTTGCCAACATTCGCTTATTAAACAAGTTTTTGAACAAGCAGGCACCACAGACTATACATCTGCCTTCCGGAGAAATTGTGAGTATTGTCGAGAAGCCAGCATGTGTCCGGCTCTGGGTGTTTGGCTGTTTACACGGTCACTTTCCTTCCAATCTTATTTTTTCTTGACAGCTCCATCCTACTCTGGCTTCCTATAGCCCCTCTTGCCTGGTGTCCATATATGTAGAGTTTATCACTGATGGAGTTTGTCCCTTTGAACTGTAAAACCTCCTCTTCCTGCTTAGAGATTCTGCTTTGTGGTTTAACTAACTCTAGTTTCCTGGGAGTTGAGGTTATAAAGCCTCTGAGTGAAACTTCATCAGTTCAGAGTATTTGAGGGAAATTCCAGGTTAAAGTAGAGGATATTCATCCAGAAGTGCTGTTATATGGCCTTATTAGCATTTAATGTAATTCACCATACCACTAGGCAAAGGAGGGATGCAGAGCCCTGTAGAGGCCTGCCTGGGTCCTGACAGGACCCATTTGGAGTTGGCGTGTTACAGCTGGAATTTTCACAGATGGGAGGCATGCAAGAGGTGGGGAAGGCCTGCGCTTGGAGTCAGACAAGCCTGAGTTCAAGTCCCTGCTCCACCACGTGCCAGCTGTGGAGCCTTCGGCAAGTTACTTCCCTCTCCGAGCCTTGTTTTTCTTACCTGTGAGGTAGAAATAATATCTACCTTGTCAGGTTCTCGGGTTAAACTTCAATAGAAGGACGTGCAAAACACTAGCATATTATCTGGCACATGTGGTGGGTCCTCAGGGTCACTTCCCTCCTCAGCAAATGCCGTGAAACTGCTTGAAAACTATTTAAGCTACTTGAGAAATAATCCTCTCAACTTAAAAATAATAATATCTAATATTTATATGGAACTTGCTATATCCCAGGTACTGTTCTAAGCTCTTTGCATTTATCGACTTATTTAATCCTCATAACAACCCTTTGAGGTAGGTACCGTAATTATCCGTGTTTTAAACTGGGAACTTGAAGCTTAGTGAGCTCATTTAACTCCCTCAGGTCACACGGTAGAGAAGCTGAGATTAAAACTCATGGAATCTGGCCCCGCAGTCAATGCTGTTTACCACCACACGTGCCGCCTCCCTGTGACTGGTCATACTTTTGTAAAGCAAACTCTTTCTTCACAGATAATCATTGATCACCAGAACCCAGCACAAAGTCAATGCTCAGTAGAAATTTGTTGTATCAGGGGTGATAAACAGACTGTTAAATGAAAAAGGTACAATTAAATGGTAGAATGCCCAGGAGCCCAAAGGGAAGGACTTGCAGTCCTGGACGTGGAGGGCCTCCAGTAAACGGTCGCAGAGAACTTCGCCAGTTCTCGCCGTGACGGAGAACTTCAGTCAGAGGTTTAGCACCTCATCTTAAATAAGGAGACAGAATCAGAGATGAGCAGACATTTGAGCCAAGCCTTGAACTTGAAAGACAGACCTAGACAAAGAACAGGGGAATAAAAGGAAAGAAAACCGAGATAATGTGAAGAGTAGAAGAAAACTTGAAGACAGTTGTCTCCTCACAGTGATAAGAGATGATTTTCTGTTGTTGTAAAGTAATCAGAGGACAAGAAAGAGCTTTAAATTTAAAAAAGCTCCTCATAAAATTCACAGGAAAAGTTGAGAAAATCTCCCAGAATATAGAACAGAGAGACAAAGGGAAAATTAGAGAGAAAATGTAAGGAAATTAAGGAACTGAGGAGGCCCAACATCTAACTGAATAGAGATGCTAAAAAGAGAACAGACCAAACGGAAGAGAGGAAACGATCACAGAAGCGACACAAGGCAGTTCCCCGACTGCAAGGTCTGCGGCTCCGGAAGGAAAGGCCACCGCAGGCCCAGCTGACTGATCAAAGAAGACCCACGCGAAGTCACATCCCTGTGAAGTTCAGCACAGCAGCGAGAAGGAGAAGGTCTAGAACCTTCCAGAGAGGGAAAAACAGCTTACATGCAGTGACTGGGGATCAGAAGGATACCAGTCCAGCTCAAAGCAACACTAGAAACTTAGGCCAAGAAAAATGGACTTTGCACCCCAAAGTCCTATGTCCCTCATACTACCAGTCAAGTGAAATTAAAGTATTAACACATTCCGATATTCAAAAGCTTTAAAAATATCCCTCAATCCCTGTCTCAGGAAGCCACTTGGTGAATGCATTCCATCAAAATGAGGAATAAACCAAAAAGGGAAGATGTAGGATCCAGGAAGAGGAAATGCAGGGAATCCCAGGATGTTGGTGAAGGAAGATTCCACCATCACAGGAGGCTCCGTGTCCAGAGAGCAGTCAGTGCAGATGGGAGGACCGAGGGCTCCAGGAGTCGTATTTCCATGGAGAAGATTTTAAATGATAGATTGCCTGATACGGCTGAATGTCTTTAGAGCAGATTTGCACTTTAGGCAGAGCGTTTGGGGATTAATTAATGGGTAGGGACGTAGAAACAAGTGAGCACACACAAAAAATGAAAATTATTAATTCCAGTGGAAATTTTTTTAGATTGCCAAGAAAAGGAAATCATAGTACATTACGTGACTCAGGTATAAATAGCATTGACATAATCGTCATAATGCAGACACCAAACACCGACTCACCAAAACGTGTGACATAATGCTGTTGGGACGCTGGGGAGAGGGGACGTGTGGGGAGGGGACCTTGGGGAGCGGTTCTTAAAAACCAAATCTTCATCAAAGGAGGAAATCGACGGATGATAAAAATGGAGAAATGAAGAACTGGCAGTTTAAACATAATACCTAGAAGTTATAGAGGCACGATAACAGAAGAAACAACTAAATTTTATGTTCTCTTCTTTAGAAGAGAGGGAGAGTGCAGCGAGTGCTGCTTCATAAGCTGTTTAGTACTCTCTGCGGGGCCCGTGTAACAGAAAAGTCGGGAGGCCGGAATCCTAGACCTGCCGAGTCCCTCTGATCTTGGGCAGCGTGATGGGCTCTGCCAGGTCATTGGGGTTGACAGCTTTGCGGCAGTTTTGAAAGCACTTTAAAACACACATTCTTAATACCCAAAGCTACTAATAGATACCCCTGAAAATATCAAGTAGGTTGTTTTTTTTCTGGTTTTGGAAAGGATCCAGACTATTTGGTTGGACAGAGAAAGCTTTTACTGTCTTTATAGCAGTTTCTGTCTATATTCATGAGTTCGATCCCACTGAAGATGCAGAATCCTACCCCGACTGAGGAAATGCCATGTGAAGTTAACCACGGCTCCCTCAGTCCTCCAAAATAGTGATTTGTGAACGCCTCCCTGACAGTTTGATTGAACACCTTTTAGAGCTCTTTTCAAGTGAAACACTCTCTTTTGAAGGATTTTACTTTCTGACCCCCGTAGCCAGGGAACACACTAGTTTCATGACTGCATCTCCAGCGATGATACCAGATGTCTTTGTGAAGTCTCAGCTCAGCAGAATATTTGGAGTTCCTGTGAGAAACAAATGGATCTGTTTGTGTAAGATGTTTCTCATGTGTGCTAAAATATTAGTTAATCCTTCCCTGTCCTTCATTGATTGGTGCTTCCATCTGTATATCTATTGTCTCTACCCTTGACGTCCATGTAGAAGGGTGACTAATACAAGTTTGCATTTTATGTAATTTCAGAATATGTTGCTTTCTTTGTGTTTGGCTACCCTTAGCAACTTAGCATCACTGAGTCTCTGATACTGAGTCGAAACCAGTATTTGGTGGGATTCTCTGTTTTTTAAGCTTTAAAATAGTTTAATCAGTGGAAGAGGGGGAAAAAATCTGATCTAGTTTCCTTTTTCTTCCTGACACTCTAGGATTTGAATGTTTTTCTAAAACCAGGACAACAGTTAGGCATTTCAGTTAAAAGAACATAAAATTCAGTTTGGGAGGGGTAAATAGATGGAGTTAACTGGGAATTTGTAGACCAGGTGGCTGATTGGTTGAGTTTTCGGTTTGCTTTGCGTTGACTTAACCAGCTGCAGACCCTCTGACCCTGAACCTCTCACCAGGTCTCGCTGGCCTGTGTCCACACTCGGTGCCTTTACTGCGTCTGTGAAACCTTCCTCTTCTCTTCCCCAGCTTGATGTGTTCGATGCTGCTGAGCGGTACCAGCAGGCAGGTCTTCCTCTGATCATTCTGGCTGGCAAAGAGTACGGCTCGGGCAGCTCCCGAGACTGGGCGGCCAAGGGCCCTTTCCTCCTGGTGAGTATGACGCAGAGATCACCCGGCTGGTGGCTGCCCCTCTGAACCAGAGGGACGCTGGGGGAGGCCCAGGAATCAATTCTGTTGCTTTACCTCCACGAAGATGTGGTGGCAGAGCAAGTGCAGAAAAGCTTGTAGTGGTGGTTCATCTGCTGTTGCTGGGTAGATCTGGACTGGCTTCACTCGGTGCAGCTGATCTAGACTTGAGCTGGTTCCCTGAGCTCAGACATTCATATCCTGCGAACCATGGATCTTTGGGGCTGTCTATAGGACAGTTGGGGGTGGGTCTGTGAAGTCTCTGAAATGATGTCCAAAAGTGTGTGTGTGTCTTTAATGGGGAAAGGTTTCATGGTTTTCCTAACATTCTCAAAGGTTGAGGACCCAAAATTTATTTAAGGTCGTTGTCCCAGGTGAACACAAGGGATAAGCCAGGGCTCCTGCTACCGTATTGTCTGTCAAGTTCACAAAAGGGAAGAAGTGAGGAGCGGGGCTTTAGCTAAACTTGGGGAATGCACTTTCTACAACTGCTTTTCACGGCCTGTAAAACTCGGCTTATAGACTGGGTAGAGAAGGAAGCTCTGTCTGTGTGTGCACAGGCAGCTCTGTAGGATCTCCAGGCATCTCAGGGCTTGACCTGCTCCGGGTGTCCTCGTGGGAGGGGCCGCGCAGGGAGCAGAGAGCTTTCACCTCTGGAGCATTGGCTTGCCCCGAAAGCAGGGAAGAATCCTGCTGCCCCGATTTGCCCCTCAGGGTAGGGTAAGATGGCTTAGCTGATGTCGATTTAAATGATTTATGGCTCAAGCAAATCCATGCACTTGGGAAACACTGAATAAGTTGATATCCGCAAGTGGAGTGAAAAAATGTATCTGGCTGGCAGGCAGCCCTCCAGACATCCAGGCTCCTAAAAATGTCTTTGAACATCACATCTATTTTTTTAATCAATCATTTTGCTCTGTGGAAAAGATGTTCTTGGATTAGTTGGTAGTATGGCAAAGGCCTGCCTTTTCTAGAAACTGCTGAAAAGAACCAGAGAAATTACAGAAGAAAAGGATTTCAGGAAGGGGGCTGGGGGCTGATAGTAGAAATGAGATTCAGGCCTCGAGCAGTCAGGTGGGGCACCCTGAGCTCTGATGGAGGAGAAGAGAGCCAGCGCCCGAGGACCCTCCAGAGTTAAAACTTCTCTACAGAACTTCCCAGCTCGGACACTTCCATCTGCAGCTGCCCCGCCGGAGTCTCTCGGCAGTGCTGGCTGTTCTCACGCAGACTGGGGTGGACAGGTGGGATCTACAGCATCTGCAGCCCTGCACAGCCATTTACACAGAGCCAGCGACGTGGAGAGTTGTGTGTTCACAAGGATTTCCACTCCCCCCAAATCAGTACATAATACATATATGCACAAATCCATACAAAGTGTCTCCTGTTCTGAAGAGTCCGCTCTTCCTCTGTATTTGTTTTTAAATTTGGAAACACCCATGGGATTTTTAAAACTACCTATGCCTGGATCTCATGCCCAGAGATTCTGGTTTAACCGGTCATGGGAACAGCCTGGACCTGGGGACTTTGAAAGCCTCCCCCAGTGATTCTAACATGGAGCAAAGGTCGGAACCACTGCTCTATTCCCACAGTTCTCATACCTCACGAGAATCCCTGTCTTCCTCCCCCCACACTCCCTGCGAGAGATTCTAATGCAGTCCCTCTGGAGTGACCCAAGAATCTACATTTTTAACAAGCTCCCCGAGTGACCCTGTTGCAGGGAGTCTGCAAAGTGTACCTTGGATGTCAAGAGACCTTTTAGGGGTATCTTCATACTAAACTACAATTAACTAATATTTGAGAATGAGGTGTGCTGTTCATCGAATATCCCAGTCTATTGATCATTGCTATATAATTGCCAGTGTCGGGGGAAGAGGGAGAATCTCCCTCTGCCCTTTTCCTTAAGGTTTCTATGGCTGGCCAAATAATTAACAAGACAGGTTAGCAGGAGAAAATAATAC